CAGCTGTTGTAATATTTATTTTCTTTATTGGATAATTTTAGCACTTCCAGGGTATACTTTTTAATCCTGCTTCTGTTAAATAGGCTGGGCTTGGCTGAAAATGGAGCTAGCACCAGGATAAAGGACTGGCCATTTGGCCTCCCTGCTGTGGCATATTTTGATCTTGAAGGACATTAGAGGATGCATACATAGTTAAGGTCACACATGTGTCATTATAACCTCTCTATTTTACTTTTGAAATTTTGAACTTCTTAGGTGTTAGGAAGTTACATCATGAAATTTCTGAAGTATTCATGTATCCGTGGATTACACATGGTTGCTCTAGCACGTCCACTCAATTTTCATAAAGGGTCAAACACATTTAGAGCATTGGAAGTGGTCATTTTTCCATTGGGATTAAATTGTAAACTAGTAGGCTTTGAGAGTTATTTCTTCTACAGTAGAGCCTTTTTAGTATATATCTATTGGCTATTTAGAGTTATGAATGGAGCTGATCAAAAGGCTATTTTGTTCTCAAACTATGTAGATACCGGTAGATACTCTATACTAACATATAACTATGTCATAAGAGGTTTAGAATAAATTCCTTTGGAAGTAAAAATTTTAAAATTTTGTTTCCTATATAAGACAGATTTTGACATATTTCAGTCACAAGTTTATAGACTTTGACTTTTTGGCTATACTATATTTTGTCAGAAATAAAATAGGCTGATGAAACATAAAATCAAAATGTGTTAACAGAAGAAGATAAAAATGTGTAATAGCCTGATTAACTTTAAAATAGGGCCTTTAAAGAATACTCTTAAATAGCCATGACAGTAGTAGCAAATTCAGTTTATAAGGCTGCCTGTCTCCTTATCAGGCTGTAAGAAAAGGTGGAAATTACCGAGAGATTTCACAGCTAAGGGCAGGCTTAATGATTTCATGTGCTCCCAGTGTATTCCATCTGTCCTTACATTTTACTGTGCTGCATTTCACTGTTTTCCTTATTTGACTCTGCAGATAAATGTATTTTACTTATTTCGACATGTATCTTCACTTGATGTCCGAACTGATGAATGTGACAGTTTGTGTATCAGGTTCATTGCATACATAGACAGGTAGGCAGTGTTCTTTTAAGAGCTCATCTTCAGGAATACATTGTCTAAAAGTGACCGTTAAATGTACCTGGTTTAGAAACTTTGGTTTAGAGCTTTCTAATTTTGAACTGTGAAGGAATTTAACTCTTCTAACGTTTGTGAGGTTTTTTTTGCATGTGTGTCACTAGAAATTAATTGTTTTGAGTGAGAAATTATCTTGAGTATGGACTTGAGTTGATTTCTTTTACAGTTTTGTTCCTGCTCTGATCACTCTCATCTCAGAAAAGTTTTCTAGTCAAAGAAATAGCATAGAAACAATGGTATTAGATATTATATATAATTTTAATCATCCTTTGCAAGATTTTAATGTATCTAATACCAAATTAAGCTACATAAAAGATGAAACCTTATGAAAAAAAATCAAAAGATTTTCTCCCCTTGCTGGTACCTTAATCTTAATGAAACTTAATCTACTTCTGAATTTATTCTGGCAATTACTTTGTCCATAGGGTTTCTTAAGATATTAAAAACATCCTTTTAAAAGGGGAGGAGATGTTGGATCTTGGGCAGTCTTTAATTTTTTACATTATGAATTCCATTCTTCTCTGTGTATTTAAGCAGTTCGTCTAGCTGAGGTACTTGGCTTGTTTCAGTACAAAGCAGATTAAAAAGCCAGTTTCTGTATCCTAAGAACTGCCTTTGAACTGAACTTAAGTTACATATTCAATCTCAGTTGTTTCAGTTATACATTAGGTCTGTCTTTATATTACATCTTTAAATAATCAAATACCTCAAAGATAACAAAAGTTTTAGGATCACATGACATGAGTTATTCACATTAGTTTCTTTTAAAAAATAAAAGACAAATTGAAATGGATAAAGTTATATTAAAATCAAGTCAAAATCTATATATAAATTTTAATGGAACCTAAATATAGTACATATTTTTCATTAGAAACATAAATTAGTCATGTTCTTACATAGTTTTTAAATATTCTCAGGTATTTGTGGGCCAAGACTATGTGGTATTCTTTAATAATATGGACCAGAAAGCTCTAGAGAGATAATAAATATGCTAAGTCATTGGAGGTATTATTATACTATTATCTTCATTTTTCCTAAGGCCTAGCCCTTTATGAGTATGTTACTTGAAATAAATACTATTTTCTAATTTAATGGGAGCTTATTAAGAACTGGAAGATGGTAATTATTTTTAAGAATAACCCTATAGATTGTTAGTGTCATTTTCCTGAAAGGGAGACAGGATTATTAAACACCCTTAACTATTCCTGAAGTAGAATTACTACGTATAGAACATGATATGTTACAGTACTGTCTATTGAAAAGTTTAGCAGTTTTACTTTATGAGATAAAAGTCAGTACACTTTTTGTCTATCAAGTAAAATATTCCATGAAAATCTCTTTCTAGGTATTGCTATACTTTTCAAGAGAATCTTCTATGTTGTGTATACTAGTTTTGGCTGACAGATACTTGGTTTTCGGTTATCCTATATATTTAGATCCTCTACAGATGAACTGATGTGTCTAGACAGGAAGTGGTATGTAGGAGATATAGGAATGGGCTGAAGTATCCTTTATATTTGCCTTTGTATCTAGGGGAGTTGGAAATAGGCAAGAATGGAGAGAAATTTTGTATGGCAGTACACAGAATTTTGCAAGTTTATTGTGAGCCCTGCAGCAATCCGATGCATTTTAGTTACTGGTAAGTTTGTTAAATTATGTTTGAAAATGTACCTCTTCGAAGATGGCCATCTATTTACTATTACATCCACCATGTCAAATATACCTATTTTAAAGATTTTTTTTTTGAAAGGATGTGGTATTGCTATTGCATTCAGTTTTAGGTATAAATTTAAAATACTTTTGTTAGTGAATGCATTTGACATTTCAATCGTTGTTGTAGCTAAAACTGAAGTGAAATTAACTTTATATGGGTAGCATAGTCATATGTTAAGATTTTGGAATAAAGGTAATATTTCTGATGTTGTAATGGAACTCCACTGTGATTAGAAGTCTGAGCTAATTCCTTAGATGTTTGAGAAAGAGTAGTCCTTCTGACATAAAAGAATAAGAAAATCCATGGCATCCTTGTAGTTTTATACAGTTCTACATAGGAGTAATTTATTGTAAGAAATATTTTTTGCATTTTTTTCATGGACCATAGGGACCATAGGCATTTCCAGTGTTTCTTTTTGACAGTGCTGATTTTTAGGAATTTTAGTAATCTTTCCCCCTACATCGTTAACTCAAGTGTAGGTAAGAATTCCATGAAAAGATTAGGACATTGTGTAATCTCTATGCAGTAGTTCTTTATTCTTCTCAAATATTTAGGCAGAAGTATTTTGTGCAGTAGTACCTGTGCAATTATTTGTGAAGTGGCTTTTACTATTGATACAAGTCATTAAAAATGGACTAGATTGCCTAATAGCTGTTCTTCTTTACAGTAACATTAAAAAAATCCCAAGAGATTCTTTGGTAGTTGTGTTTTATTTGTAAATGTCTAACTATAGGGCGAAGTAAAAGAACATCGTTGCCTTGTGGTACAAGTTTACTTTTTCTGTGTGGTTTAAAGAAATAGGGCCAATTAATGTAATTGAATTTTAATTTCCTGTAATGAAGTACTTTATTTCCAGATATACTATATTTTTTCTAGCTGATATCACGTAACCCATTAAACTATCAGTTTTTATAATAATGATAATTTTGCTATTGATTCTTTCAATGAGACTGTTTCTGATTTGAACAAGAATAGCCACATTATCAGAGAAATGTGTTGTCAATTTTACTGAAACCAGAAGAGCTAGAATAACTTGAGAATAGAATCACTTTTGGAATTAGTGATTTTCAAGTTTTCCTCATTAACAAATTTTCTTAATTCCTTGCAGGAATGAGTACTTGTGAATTTAAAATATATTTAGAAATTTGTGGTTTTACCCTTTCTTGTGAATATAAATAGGTAATTTAGGCTATATTACAAAGCACAGCAAATGGATATTTTAATTGCTGTTGAAGTTTGGCTTGTCATTTATTGTTATCAACTACAATAAGCATAAACAATGAAGGAATATATATTTTCTTAATTAGGAATGCCATCATCTATTAATGCTGCTAGTTGAAAAATTTTCAGCGTAACTTTGTGAAGTAATACATTATCAAAGCTTAATTCAATGCAATCATTTTTTCTTTCGTTTCTTTCTTCATTCAACAGACATATCAAGTGCTTTATCTTTGTCTGGCACTTATCTTTGTGTGCTTTTATGTGTTTGTGTATACATTGTGTAATTAACTGCCATTTTCATTTCAATATTATACAGACATTTATTTTTCTGCTCTCATGAGCTTTCCTGAGGGCATATATGGACATAATAAATAACATGTTGCATATTTCTCTGGATATTTTCTAAAAAATATAATTTTTTTTAAAAATAGGTCTAAATGAAAAGTTTATTTTAAAAACAGGTGTGTTCTTCCAAAGCAATATTGCATACATATTTAAAATTCTCTAAGATAATATGTTCTTCAAAAGAATGTTATGATAAAAGTCTTAATTGTGGAGAATTGATTTATTTGTGGGTGTGTTTCTTATGTTAGATTTACTTGAAGCAGATAATGTACGTAAGTGTAGATGAACTTCAGTGTTTGGCTTTGGAATATAAAAAAACTATGAATTTATGTTTTGATTTATGATATTTAATTTTAAAGAGATGAGACTAGTTTTCTCATGCTTGTGAGAAAATATATTCCTGTACAATATAAAGTATAATAATCATTGTCAGCAAAATAGAGATTAGATTTGAATTCGGTTGTTCTTTTGGCATAATAAAATTCTAAAATGGAACACTGTGTTTATAATCAACATTTGATAATTATGTAATGAAATTATCTGTACTTTACATGCAGTGCTACTCTTTTGGCATTCCTGGTTGAACTACTTAAAAGTTCAGTAGCCATGCAAGAACAGATGCTGGGTGGAAAAGGCTTTTTAGTCATTGGCTACTTACTTGAAAAGGTAAGTGATATGTATTGATGGTTTTATTGTATAGTATTCATAGCTGAACAACTGACAACCCCTAATTATATTTTTTCTATAGTTTCTCTTTTCATCGCCTGCTCATTATTGTTGGCTAATTCACAAATATGTGCTTTTATGTTTTGCATTTAGACTTAAGTGTAGACATTGAACTAAATTGGTTGCTATAGAAATCTATATAATAAAGGAATTTTGAGTGAAGATAGAAACTAAAGAAATTTTTTCCCTCTGTCTTTAATCAAAGTTACAAGTATTTCGCCTTAATTCTTTTTTCTAGTTGTTTCTTTGCTATCTTTACATTCAGACTGATTTCTTAGAAGTTTTGTCAATTTTATTTTAAATGGACTTTTAGTTTTTGCTTAATTTTCCAATTATAAGGTAAAAAATCTTTATTTTGTAATAAGCAAAGCATTAGTTTGTGATTTGTCTCTGACTTTAATATATCTGAGTATTTAAGGTAGCATTTCTGTAATCACTACATAATATAAACAATACAAATTAGATGGGTGTAATTTTCCCCATTTTGTGTCATTTGTATCTTGGTTTTTTTATGACCTTCTTTGCTTTAGTCACAATTGTACTAATTCTGGTAATGAATCCTGGGTCTCATAAGAGTTTGGTTGTATCATGTGATTTCTTTTAAAAATTAAAGCGGGAAGTCATGATACAAATATTGGCTTTTCCTTTCCTATGGAAATATCTGTCATCCTCATTAGCTCTCTCAAACCTATTCTTACCAGTTAACTCTAACATTCAGCTGCTCTTAAAATGGAACTATTTGAGAAATAATAGAGGTGAGGCCTCAAGTAAGAGGAATAAACTTATTTTTCCCCTTCGGAAATAATATTGAGAAGACTTTTGGAGATAGTTTTCTCAACTCAGATTGCTCTACCTTTGAAATCCTTGTAACCTGTCTTTGCTTTGAAATAAGTATTCTTTCTTGAAGGATTGGTGATTGAGGAGTGGTAAGTTACTAAGTTATTAAGATCATTGGCAGCATTTCTTTATTGAAATAATTTTTTCAGTAACATTAAGCTTATCATTAAGGTATTTGGTTTCATGGAAAACTGTTTTTTTTCTATCTAGAGTATTAAGAATGATTTAGAAGATTTATGTTAAATTACATTTTACAAGAATTAGATATTATGAAATGCCTCTGTGATATTACTGTGTATAACAAGATCACTAATAGGAACTGCCCCTTGAATATACTTTTCATTTATTTACTGAGAGTTTATCAGCATAATTCTAAAGTGAGCATTCTTTTACACTTAAAACTTAGCTTAAAATTAGAATTTTAGTGAGGGACACCTGGCTCGCTCCATCAGTAGAGCATTTGACTCTTGATCTCAGGGTTCCAGGTTCAAGCCCCAAGTTGGGCAGAGATATTACTTAAAAATAAAATCTTAAAAAAAAATTAAAAAAATTAGAAATTCAGTGAAAAGACTTTAAATCAAATAAAAAGACATATATTCAGTTCTTCCTCTTTTTCAGAATTAATATCCTTAAAATTATATTGACAAGTTAAGTATAAAATATTATCTCATTGTGGTTTTAATTTGCATTTTTGGAAAATTAGAATAAGATTGGACATATTTTCATATGTATTTATAGTACATCCACTTTTTCTCTTTTGTGGAGAAATTATTCATGTCCTTTGCCAGTTTGTCCAATTTCCTTTTAAGACCCCCACTCCTAGGCAACCTGAAATCTACTTTTCACTCTGATTTGGTGTACTCTAGATATTTCATATAAGTGAGATCATATATTTGTCTTTTTTGTATCTTATTTCATATACCATAATGTGTACAAGATTTCATCCATGTGGTAGCATATATCAGTACTTTGTTCCTTTTAATGGCTGAACAGTACTCCATTGTATGTATATAACACATTTTGTTTATCTGTTCAGATGTCAATAGACATTTGTGTTTTTTTCACCTTGGATGTTATGAGTAATGCTGCTATGAATGTTCATGTACAAGTTTTTGTGTGGACATATTTTTTTTTTCTTCGGTAGATACCTATCTATAAATTGATTTGCTCTGGGTCCTACCGTAATTCTGTGTTTAACCAGTTGAGACACTGCCAAACTGTTTTCCAAAGTGGCTCCACTATTTTACATTTTCATCAGCAGTGTATTAGGTTTCTAGTTTTTTCACATCCTTGCCAACATTTCCCAATTGTCTTTTTTATTCTAGCTTATCCTAGTGGGTGTGAAATGGCATATCATTTTTTATTTATAATTCTGTCTAATCATGTTGAATGTCTTTTCATGTGCTTATTGGCTATTTCTGTATTTTCTTTGGAGAAATGTCTATTTAGAAATTTTTCCCATTAAAAAAATTGTGATACTTTCTTTTCATTATTGAATTGTAGCAATTTTTTATTCTGTATACTAATCTTCATTTGATAATATGATTTGCAAAGATAGTCTTACATTCTGTAGATCATGTTTTAATTTACATTTCCTTGATGACAAATTAAGTTGAACATTTTCATACATTTATTGTCTTTTAGTAGTTATCCTCTTTTGGTAAATATCTGTTCAAAGTGTTTGCCCTTCTTCATTTGAATTGTCTGTCATTTTCTTATTGATTTATGGAAATTCTGTTTTTATCGCAGATATGAGAACTTTGTTAGATATGTATCACGAATATCACTTCTTCTGTGGCCTGCTCTTTTATTCTCTTAATGACCTTTTTGATGAACGGAAGTCCTTAATTTTAATATAGGTCACCATTTCATTTTCTTTTATGATTATCCCATTTTAGATCCTAATGTATCCCAATGCCATGAAACTGTTCTATGTTTTCTTCCCAAAATTTTGTTTTACCTTTCACATTTAGATTTACAATCCATCTGGAATTGGATTTTGTATATGGCATGAGGCATAAAGGTCAGAGCTCTTTTTTAACCCTCAAATATGTAGCTAGCTGGCCTGGTGCTGTTTATTGAAGATAACTTCCCACTGCATCAAAATTTGATTTTTGCCATAAATTCGATAACCGTATATAAATGGGATCTTTTCCAGAATTGATCTATTGTGGGTATAGTGTGTCATCTATTTTTATTCTTCTTCAAGATTGCTTTGGCTATTCTTGGGTTTTGGCATTAATACATGTATGCTTGTCAATTTCCACCAAAAATACTAGGATTTTCATTGTATTATATTGATATCTTTATATCGAATCTTCCAATTCATACATTTAGTATGTCCTTCTATTTACTTAGGTCTCTTTTGTAGTTTTCTATAGAGAAAACTTTCTTTTTGCTAGATTTATTTCTAGATAACTTGAGGTTTTTCAAATGTTAGGTTTTTTTTATTTGTCATGGAAACATAGAAATATAATTGGTCTTTATATTGACCTTTTATATACCAATACCAATATTGCTCTTCTTCTATTAATTCTAGTAGTTTGTTGATTTTTCAGAAACATTTCTTTGTAGAAAATCTCATTATCGGAAAATGGCAGTTTTATTTTTTCCTTTCCAGTATTTATTCTTTTTATGTTTTTTCCCGTGATATTCCACTACCTAAGACTTCCAGTATAGTGCTGAACAGAAGCTGTAATAGTGAGCATCCCTATCTTATTCCACATATCATGTGCAAAGCTTCCAGTAATTAGCCACTACGTATGGCATATGCTGTAGATTACTTTTAGTAGATTTTTAAATCAAATTAAGAAACTGTCTACTACAAGTTTGCTTAGAGTTTTCTTTATCATAAACAGGTGTTGAGTTTTATCAAACAATTTTTCTGCTTTGTTAGAGATAATTATGAGGTTTCTTCAAATTTTTCTTAGTTTAGTGAACTACATTAATTGATTTTGATATGTTAAACCACCCTTATATTCCTGGAATCCTATTTAGTCTTAGATCTATCCTTATTCCAATCAGTCTTTTTTCCTTAAAATGGCTCATGTCAGTGTCACCAGTAGTCTTATATTCTTACATCTTAAGGTTCTCAGTTTTCATCTTATTTGACCTGTTAACATTTCAGTTGTAAAAGTTTTTCCTTCTTGAAATGCTTTCTTCAGTTGTATTTTGTGACAGTATTCTTTCTTTGTTTTCTTCCTACTACCTTGGTTTCCTGTTTTATTCTCTCCTACTAGTGCCTCCTCTTCTTTCTAAATTTTAAAGACTGATTTTCCTCTCAAATCTTTCATCCCTCAATTTTCTTTCTTTTTTTTTTTAATTTTTTTTTATTCTTATGTTAATCCCCATACATTACATCATTAGTTTTAGATGAAGTGTTCCATGATTCATTGTT